TTTGTTTTGTAACACAGAAATAAGAGTTGGGACGTTCAAAGGAAAATTTAAATACAGTGTTTTGTGCTCTGCATCTTAGACTGATGGGTCATAATCTCAAGACCTTAGTAATATTGTGCTTTATTTTATAAAAATAGTTACACATTAATTGTAATTCTTTGCTAGCTTTGAAATTAGGATTATCCGTGCATTATTTTTTAATATTACAATGTTAAATGTTAAGTTTTATATTACTGAGGTTGAAATCACAGATCTTATAAACAAACACATTTTAAGGGAAGGAGAAGGAGAAGAAGAGGGAGGGAGGGAGGGAAGGAAGGAAGGGAGGGAGGGAGGGAGGGAGGGAGGGAGGGAGGGAGGGAGGAAGGGGCTGTATTATAAGGAGCATACACATCTCTTCAAGACAAACTGACCAGCCAAGCACAGTGGTGCATGCCTGTAATCTCAGCAGCTAGCGAGGCTGAGACAAGAGGATTCTGCAGCTAGCAAGGCTGAGACGAGGATTCTGAGTTCAAAGACAGCATCAGCAAAAATGAGGCACTAAAGCAACTTAGTGAGACCCTGTCTCTAAATAAAATACAAAATAGGGCTGGGGATATGGCTCAGTGGTCAAGTGCCCCTGAGTTCAATCCCCAGTACCAAAAAAAAAAAAGACAAACCAAACTGACCCTTTTATTAACATGCCCACTTTACCCTCTGGTAATCTTCCCTCTCTTGTTTTCTTTAACCTACATATAGGCTCATTGAAGCCGGATTAGTTTTGCATACTATATCTTCATTTATTGCATGCTAATTTTTATCTGGCTTTCTATCAGTTGCTGAGAGATTATTAAGGCCTCTTTCTCCCTTTAATTATATTATCTTTGCTTTTGTGTTTTGAAACATTATCAAGCACATGGACATACATGACAGTTACGTCTTCTCATAAATTAACCCTTTAATCATTTGGTCAGGAACAGGGGTAGAAATGCTCCAGGTGGAATAAACAGAAATCCAAAGAGTCTGAAGCAGCAACTAGTTGCAGTGTCTGAAGCTCAGTGTGTCCTGAAGATGATGCCTGAGGAAGCAGCAGCAGGAGGCAAGGACCCAGCAGGAACCAGATCACATCAGGTCTTCAAGACAAAGCAAGGGGCAGGTGGTATGGTGCATGCCTATAATTCCATTGACTTGGGAGTCTCAGGCAGGAGGATCACAAGTTTGAGGCCAGCCTCAGGAACTTAGTGAAAACCCTGTCTCAAAATAAAAAGTGAAAATGACTGGGGCTGTGCTTGGATTCTCCCACCAGAACTCACTCCACTCTGCACCTCTTCTAACCACCTGCCACAGGGTGGTAGAGCACCCCTGAGTTCAATCCCTAGTACCAAATAAATAAATAAAATTTAGCTTTAATTTTAAAAAAATAAGAAGAAAAATCACTGCATCTTGTATCTCCTACCACAAACATGAAAGCAGGATGGCACCTAGTAGGGCTGCATGGGTTCTGGAGGCAACACTGTCCACTCAGAGGTCTAAGTTCAAGGCCTTCCATATAGAGGAGAACTATTTCAGCTCCTCTGTCTGGTGACACAGAATTCACCTAGCTCTATGGGGAGCTTGGAGCAGGAAAGCTTTCTGGTCCAGGTCACAGTGCAAACAGCCCTACTGCTAGGATCATCAGATTTTCAGACCCTATCATGCTGAAAGGGCAGGTGGTTAGAAAAGATGCAAGCACAGGCTCTTGAGATTCTGGAACAAAACTATGACATCCACAGGGAGAATTACACTTGTCTCAGTATCTGTGGACGGCTGATTCCAACATGCCCTTGTGGTCACCAAAATCCATGCATGTTCGAGTCTCTTACATAAAAAAGCATAGTATTCGCATGTAATCTATGCACACATTCCCAATTTATTTATTTACACTGGGGATTGAACCCAGCAGTGCTTTGCCACTGAGCTACGTCCCCAGTTCTTATTTATTTTGAGACAGAGTCTTGCTACGTTGCCGAGGCTGGCCTCAAACTTGCAATCCTCTTGCCTCAGCCTGAATCACTGGGATTACAAGTGCACACCACCTACCTTGACTCCATATACTATAAATCATCTCTGCATCATTTAAAATAAAGAATATGATGTAAATGCTGTGTAAACAGTTCTTATGCTATATTGTGTAGGGCATAATGACAAGGAAAAATTCTATACATGTTCAGTACTAGCAACTTTTTTTTCCCAATATTTTCAATCAATGATCGATTAAATCTGTGGATGCAATCATGGATACAGAAGGCACACTGTGTATTATGCTCTTTGAGAAACAACTCCTAGCAAGTTACTGGGCCCTGGTAGAGATAGCACCATTGACCAGTAAACACCAGTTTCCCATGTGTCCATAACTGACTGCTTATAAGCTGAGTTCTTTTGGACTCAACATGGTCGTAAAGTCACACATGCCCAGTAGCAATTGTAAATGGTACATCAGGATTGAGTCCTATAGGGCCAGCGGATACAAGTAAGCTCTAGGAGCAGGTAGCCCATGTGACCCTCTCACCTGCCACAGATGCACCAATGATCCTCCCCTGGTTACATAAATGGCCTTAAAGAGAGGGTCCCATGTGACTGGCTGAAAGAAGAGAAAGCCCAAGCTTGGCTTACAGAAGGATCTGTTCAGTTGATGAAGGATCTGCTCAGTCAGTGGCCAACAGTCTGACCATCTGGTCAGAGACTTGGAAGAGATTGTAAGATTGAGAAAGACACATGGATGTGCATATGGAGAACAAGAACATGGTTTGAGAACTTTGGATTGAAGTGTTAATTCCTGCCAGCAAACATCCAACGCTGAGAGGCACCGTGCACCAAGTAGACAAAACGACTCAGTCAGTTGACAGGAGCCGGGTTTCATCAGCAGCCTCTCCAGAACTGGCTGGGGCCATGAAAGGAATGGCCATGGTGGCAGAGAGAGAGAGCCTATGCCTGGGCCCAAGAGCAGGAGGTTTTGCTTATCAAGGCCGATCTATTGCTGCTGCTCGGCATGTTCAACTTCCTAACCTTTGTGACTGTTCTAGAATGAAGGTAAACCAGCCAGATGCTTCCCCCGCTGGGGGGCCCCAAACACTAAGCTAAGTGTCTGAGCAAACCTGCCAGAAGAGGGAGACTTGACCACCGTGTTTGCCTCCACCCAAGAGTGCACAGACGCCTCACTGAGAAAGTTCACTGTTCAATGTCTGATCTCTTACTTTTGTTCCAAAAGCTGGTTATTGTTTCTTTCCTGTTCTGAACTACCTACTTGCCTTTTCCAAAGGGACACCCTTCACCTTTAGGCTATCACCCACTTCCCCCAACCCCTTCTCAGGTGGTCTTGTAGCAGGTGCCTGCAGGGAGCCATCTCCCTGAGAACAGCTTTCCCCAGCATTTGAAAGTGAAGATTTCTGGCAAGTTCACTTGTCCAGCATTCCGGAGCCACAACTGAGCCTTCTCCAGCAAGTTCTGGATCTCAGCCCAGGGAGTGTGGAATGGCTAATAGAGTATTATAGGACATTATATTTGCGATGTTATGTTATATCTACTTTTGCCGTGTCCTTTAGAGTTCTCTTTACTTCTTAGTAGCTAATCCCTGATCATACCAACCCCCTCGTACAGATAATTTTTGTGTGTCTGTGTGTGTGTGATGCTGGAATTGAATCCAGGGGTGTGCTCTACCACGGAGCTACATTCCCAGCCCTTTTTATTTTATTTTTTATTTTGAGACAGGGTCTCACTAGTTCAAGCTGGCCTTGAACTTGAAATCTCCTGGCTTCAGCCTCCCAAGTAGCTGGGATCAGAAGTATGCTCCACTACACCCAGCAATACTGATTCTTTGTATTAAGTGTTCCCTGTTCAAACAACTGTACCATTTCTCTTCTGTCTAGTAACAGACTGATATGGACTTTTAAACAAAGCTGACTCTAGTAGCTGTAGTAGCTGTACAGAGTGGCAGAGACAGGTCTGCTCTTTGAAGATAACACTATTGCATGTAGGAATAATTTGTTGTATTCTTTTCCTTTTTTTTTTTTTTTTTTTTTTTTTTGTACTCAGGATTGAAATTGAATCCAGGGGCACTTTATCACAGAGCTACATTTCCAGTCCTTTTTAAAAATTTTTGAAACAGGGCCTCACTAAATTGCTGAGGCTGGCCTTGTGAAATTTGCAATCCTCCTGCCTCAACCTCCCTAGTCACTAAGATTACAGGCACGTACCACCCTCTCCAGCTTGGTTTTAAACATATTCTTGTTATAATCCAAATTCTTACATACACCTTACAAAATGACACTTTATCTTACAACGTGACCACTTTGAGAAATTTTCAATGTGATCTAAATTATCCATCTTAAAGCATCTTAAAACAAAAGGGCATAAAAGGAGGGAACAGCAAGATTTTAATATTCAGTGGTTAACATTTTTTAAATGTTATAAAGAATCTTAGATTCTGTGGGTAAAGCACTTCCTAACATGTGAGGCTTTGGGTTCAATCCCCACTACTACAAAAAATAAAAACAGAGAAAGAACAAATCTTAAATGTTAAGGATAGACTAGGGGCCCCAGCCTCCCTACATCAACTAGTTCATATATTACTAGTTCTGTCAGTTGCTAACCCAACTTGAAGAGTGCACTGAAAGGAACTGAAAAATAATCTATGCATTCCAGAGTTCCATCCAACAGAACAGAACTTTATTTTTTTTTAGTTTAATCATTTTTATTTCAAGTGTATTTTTAAAATCATAAATAGGGTTTTATAATCCAAAGTTGAAACATTTATTCTTCATTACTTTAGAATCTGACAAGCAATTCCAGACCATGCTTTCCAAATTCAGTCTTCTTTGCTGTTTTTCAGACTTCTGAGACCTAGTACTTACACTACTCCATTCTAAAAGTACAATTTTAGATAACTACTGTACACTTGTTGTAAGAGAGTTTTCTGAAAACAGTCCATCAAATATAAAGTATGGTTTCTGTCCAAGGATCAGCAGTGAGGGGAAAATATTAAACACCTTTCAAGAAATCATTTATTCATTTAAAAAAACAGAACCAATGAGTTCTCTGTCATAAAAGAGAACATATAAAATTAATCTAAATTATTTTTGTAGACTTTGGTAATATTCTTCCCCACACACAGGTCTCAATCCTACTTAATTTTTTATGCAAAGTCACCACTGGAATTTACTGGAAAAGAAAAAAAAAATCCCAGGTGTTATTTTAAAGATGAATAGGTTACTACTAAGGAAAAGAACTGCCCTGATAATTTCTCTCAAATGCTCATTTTAAATAAAAATAGTTACTGGAAATATTTTTTAAACCAACTTTGGATAGTATGCAGCATACTACTCATTACACAAAATAGGAAATCAAAACTTTTCTAGGAAATTTTCCATGTTTACTTTTAAGATTACAACTTATTCAACTTTTTTCCCTTTTGACTGCCTAATTCAACATTTAAATTTTTTAAATTCTGCATTTCAGTGTAGCAAGAGTTCTTTTCAAATGTTCTTCACAACACAGAACACAGACACCAGAGCAACATTCTCAAGTCACATTGTTTAACTACAATGAAGTAAGAAATGAAAGTGGATGGATATCTCAAGATAGATATTCTCTCTCCTCTGAAGAGGAGCAAGCTTTTAACAAGTGAGCAACACAGAACTCCACTCCCCTGCAACTCCCTCAAACTGAGAATACCTTCATTTAATAATATATTATTTTTAAAAATTAAAGTTTGGTCACTAGGAAAGACTGAACAAAAATTATTCCCTTCTCCCCAAACAACCCAAACAGTTCTAGTCACTCTCTCCCTCTACTCCCCACAAAAACAGGGAAGTAGTAGGGGCCCAAAGCTTTATATCTGAAATCTTGGCTCCTATAACATTGCTATATGCTCAAAGTTGTAGGTCTGTATATTTCATTATCCAATACTTCCCCCATTTATAAGTTTAATTCCATACACACACACACACACACACACACACACACCGCCATACACTCACTCTCAAGTAAGACACTTTTTTGTGTTTGTTGATAAATTATGAGGAATATGAACTAGGTGTGCACAGGGTTTCATAGGTGCTTTGTAAACATCAGAGTCACTTGGGTCCTTTTCTCCAAAAGCCTGAAATCAAATTATGCAACCAGGGATCACTACTTTCCCAGACGCTGTTCACAGGCTGCATATTGACGAAGGGCAGAGAAAAAGTCCTCATAACTGATGTTTAGGTGGGAAGGCAAAGAGACAATCTCAGTCAATCTGATTTGCCAGGGAAGAAAGCCTAATGTGCTGTCCACAGGACCAAACTTCAATACTAAATCAGGATCAGGGTAACCATTTGAACTAAGTAAACTGTCTAACGTATCTACATCCAAATCTGTAGATCTCTTTTGCTGCTGGGCTACTAACTGGCAAAAGTCCTGAGCAGCTCTCGCAATATCTGCTTTTCCATCTTCTGGGGACAGCACCCTCACTGCCAAATGGCAATTTAAAACTTGATCATCTTTGTCATTACTATTTGCAAACCCCGGTGAGTATTTGGAACAATCTAGGCCCAGAAGTTCCTGCTGTTGTTTTAAAATTTCATCCATCAATCTGGAATTATTTCTTTTGAAAATACCTCGCCCCCGCCGCCACCTTCCTCCTCCCTTAGCGGCCCCGCCTCCGTTAGTACATGGACAATTCTGATTGGCTGGCGTGGAGCTCTCAGAACAGAACTTTAAAAAGCAAAACAACACGTGTCTGGTAGTCTAGCTTAGTTGCAAAGCACTTGCATAGCTTTCAGGAGGCCCGAGTTCAATCCCCAGCACAGGAAACAAATATAAAAACATAAAATGTGGTAAAATTCTGTTAAAAACTTCCTTTCTGTCTCTCACACACATTTATTAAAGATTTTAGAAATCATCCAGGCGTGATAGCAGGAGTCTGTAATCCCAGAAAACCAGGAGGCTGAGGTAGGAGGATCACAAATTCTAGCCAGAGCAATTGAAAGAGGCCCTGTCTCAAAAATAAAGTAAAAAGGGCTGGGGATATAACTCAGCGGCACTTGCCTAGCATGCAGGAAGCCCTGGGTTCAATCCCCAGCACTACAAAAAATAAAAATAAAAAATAATAAAGATTTTAGAAACCTCCTTTAGACAATAGTCTGGGATAGATCAACAGGCAAATGCTTTTACCACCTTATCGTCATTTTTTACGAAAACCTTAAGCAAGAAATCAGGAATCTGGTACTTCTAGGCTTGAATAGGAAATAACCCTACTAACAAAGCCATAACAATTGTCCAGACTTTCTGGGAAGGTCTTAGAACAAAAACAGAATAAGAGCCAGGTGTGGTGGTGCACACCTATAATCTCAGGGTCTTGAGAGGCTGATGTAGGAGGATCACAAATTCATGTCCAATCTCAGCAACTTAGCAGTAGTGGTAGTGCATACTTCTAATCCCAACAACTCGGAAGGCTGAGATAAGAGGATTGCAAGTTCAAGACTAGCCTCAGCAATTTAGCAAGGCCCTCAGCAATTGATGAAATACTGTCTCAAAATAAAAATAAAAAGGCTGAAGATGTAGCTTTGTGGTAGAGCAATGGTGGATTAAATTCCAAGTAACCAAAATAAATAAATAAAGATGTGGCTCAAAAACTAAATTAAACAAAACCAGAGTAACACCCTAAACAAGTTAATGCTTTTCCAAAGTAAATAAATGAATAACCCGACATACTTAAGCCTCCCAACAAAATGCTCATTGATCAGGACTCTTGCTGCTACTGTTAACAAAAAGGACACTGTAAACCCAGGCATGGTGGTACACAACTGTAATCCCAGTGGCTTGGGAAGCTATGGCAGCAGGTTTATGAATCCAAGGCCAGTCTCAGCAAAATCGAGGTGCTAAGCAACTCAGTGAGACCCTGTCACTAAATAAAATACAAAATAGGACTGGGATGTGGCTCAGTGGTTGAGTGCCCCTGAGTTCACTCCCTGGTACCAAAAAAAAAAAAAAAAAAAAAAAATGACACTGTAAAACCAGCAGTCTTGTGATGGCAAAACCAGACCTGATTATAAAATGAAATTATAAAAATATATGCTAACAAACCCATGCCTGGGAAAAGGGTTAACTCCCCTCCCTTTCTATCAGCCTTTCTTCAGGAAACCTAATTAATCACAGTCCCTACCCTTCAGATTGTAAATAACTGTCTCTAGGCGTCTGACTACTCCTTCTCGAAATGTGGACACCCCTGTGCCAGGCTTTTGCTAAAGATTTAACAGATGCCTGTGAAAAGAGCCATCTCTTGGGCTGGGATTGTAGCTCAGAGGTAGAGCACTTGGTTCACACATATGAGGCACTGGTTCGAATCCTCAGCACCACACAAAAATAAATAAATAAAATAAAGGTATTGTGTCCATCTACAAAAAATAAATAAATAAATAAGTCGTTTCACCTATTGGGGTGGATTTTTTTTTCTATTTATTTATTTATTTATTTATTTTGTATTTGTTATGGCCCTTTAACACATAGGCCATACTACATTGACCTTACCAGTAGTCTCTTAGAAAGAAAGATGTTGGCTGAATGGGCCACCTGTAGGTACAAACAAGTCTTTCTAAAAGAAAGATGTTTTACTGTAACACAATTGGGCCTTAAAAAATAGTTTTCTGGATTATTATTATTTAATCTTGGACTTGGACTTGGTCCATCTGGGGTAGAGTATATAAAAGATTCTGTACGTATAGGCATTTATGCAGTTGCATGATAGGGAGTCTGGACAGTCAGAAACTAAGCTGAAGGTGCCAAAGGCACTGTCTCTGACATGCAAGAAGAGCAGGACACCAAAAGAAAGGGTTAAATCCTTTCAATCCCGGGCAGGTAGTCCCAGCAAGGTTTCTCAGCCCGGCCCCAGGCAGATCCACATCATCTCCCTGGGCCTCCTCTGCTGAATATCAATATGCTTAGTATAAGAAAAAGGCCCCAAAGGAGAATCTGGGTACAACTGACAGTGTGGCACTCACTAAGTTGATGGCATTATAATAATGATAAGGGAGATAGGTCAGGCTCAAAATATCATGTGCTCCAAAACCTTGAAGGCAACCTGGGAGGAAAAAACAAAACAAAACAAAACAGTTTTTGTATATGCTAGATTGTCTGACCTGTCTTCTGGGATGAAATTTATTATGTAAATTAAATGCATAGATAGCATTCATGAGGATGGTTTCAGAATATAAATTTAAGAAAGGGTCCAAAACTACAAAAGATAAAGGAAAATTACAGGTATAAAAATATATTTTTTGGTACATACATTTAATAGACAAAGAAGTCAAGGAACGGGGAGGGGAGATGAGAATAAGAAAGAGAGTGGAATCAATCGAGTATGACTTTCCTATGTTCACATACGAATACACCACCAGTGAAACTCCTCATCATGCACATCCACAAGAATGGGATCCTAATTAGAATAAGTTGTACTCCATGTATATATAATATGTCGAAATACACTCAACCATCATATGTAACTAAAAAGAACAAATTTAAAAAAATTTTAAAAGCCAGTAACAGCATCACTGATGTCCTTATGTTAACCAAGTTTAACTTTTTTTTTTAATATTTATTTTTTTTAGGTGTAGATGGACACAACACAATGCCTTTATTTTTATGTGGTGCTGAGGATCGAACCCGAGTCCCGCCCATGCTAGGCGAGCGCTCTACTGCTGAGCCACAATCCCAGCCCCCCAAGATTAACTTTTAATAAAAATTTAGAATCCGTAATGTAATGTAATAATCTAAAATGACAGTTGTTTACTTAACCAAAGTTGTACAAACATTAATCCCTTTAAGATTAGTTCCCCCAAATAATAAAACCCAAAAGACACAGAAATTACCTTTTTTTTTAAAACATTTATTTTTTAGTTGTAGGTGGACAAGATACCTTTATTTTATTTTCATATGGTGCTGAGGATTGAACCCAGTGCCTCACCCATGTTAGGCAAGCACTCTTCCTCTGAGCCACAACCCCAGCCCCAGAAATTATCTTGAAAGATATGAGCAGACCAGTGTTTTAAGAAACCCTTGTTATTTCAACAAATAGAAAATTAAATTCTGATTTATATCAGTACATTAATATTTAACCTTAAAAAAACACTTAAATAACTTCAACTGATTGTGCTGATTATAGCCAACTTAATGTCACACAAACTTTTTGAGATTTACCCTCCACAAAACTTGTGTAACTTACTTAAATGTTCTATAACTTTGTTTATACCTTTGGTTTTCTCCTTCTTTCATCCTGGACTTTAGCACAAGACTATTACTTTACCAGACAAAACACCCTCTCTTCAAGAAACATTTCTTTCATTTGGAGTTAAGTTAAAAAGATAGATTTTTGTTTGCTCAAAGGATTACTGTGACCTTAAAAAGGGAATATAACATAAAGGTAAGTAAAGGTTTGAGATTACAAAATCTAAGTTTCTTGGTACATAGCTGTAATGTAAACTAAATATTTTTTACTCTTGTTAATTTCATTTTGTATTTTCCTTGTAAACCTTATAACTGTTGTCGATCGGTGTTTTATAGAAGTACAACTTCTGTAATAATACCTGAGTTAATTTGAGATAATGACTCATCACCTATAGCTAGACAAAACATAAGGCTGAATTCCAGTATAATATTGAACCCAATTAAATGAAAGAGGAAAATAACTGTAAAATTATAGACACTAAAGTTAAAACCCAGTACTCCTACTTTAAGACTCCTACTTAAAACTCAAATTTAGAGACTAAAGATAAAAAGGGCCAAGGAAAATAGCCAATATTTGGTGGCTCTTGCTCTCTGAAGTCAGCTCAAACCCAGGGAATGAAAGGACTTCTCTAGGGCTTTACAACTCTAGGCACATGACCTCCCAACCTGGGGACAATAAGACCTTAGAGAATGGGAAGCCGATTGGAAAGGGAAATGTCTTTAATACTTCCAAGAAAAACCACACATGATCAGCAAGACCTTGACCTGTCCTAGCAGATGGCACAAGAGAAGCTAAGAGGCTTTCACAAATTCCCAAGAATGATACCCTGAGAAATCTCAGCTGATTCTTAACAGTAGATAGGAGCAAGGTCAGTTTTAACTGAGTTGGTCTTATAAACACACGGCAGGAGAGTTAAAACCAAAGTACAGGCATACACGTGCTGGTGTTCATGGCTAAGATGGCACAATTCGTGGCAAAGGGGTTCAAGATCACCTGGAAGTTACAACTAAGCAAATTATATCAGGAAACCCACCTACTCTGGATCAAGTGTTGCCAATTGCTTTGTTAATAATTAGGTCTACCCCTATTAGACGGGTTCTTCTCATCAGATTCTTTATAGAAGCCCTCCTCTCATTATAAGAGGTATATGAAAAGATCTAAAAAACGAACCAAATTAGGCACACCCCTTTAAGCCAGGAGATGTTATTTGGGTAAAAACAAAAGGAGCTTCTTTGGAGGAGTCTGTTTAGTGTCATTTTATCCACCTCCACTGCAGTAAAGGTGGCCTGGGTGGCCCCTTGGATTCATCAGGGTAAAACCAGCCTCTTACTGTTGGGAGTTGGGAGTTCATTCCTGATTCAACTGCTCCGAGCAAGGTAACCATCCAAAATAAACAACCCGGAAAGTCCCCTCAAGGACAACAGCCAGCCCTGCTTTTGTCACTCAGAAAACTATGCATGGCCAAGCTTGGGGAACTGACTGCTAATTGGGATGAATGGACTACTCTTATTGTCTGTATTGGTCTATTTACTGTCCGGCTCCCCGCTGGCACTGCTGTTTGGCCTCTGCATCCTTAACATACTGTCTTGATTTGTCTCCCATTCAGAGGCCATGAAATTCCATATGGTCCTCCAGTGTTACCAGTGGCTTAACTTGGAGGACACGGACACAGGTGATGCCTCTTAAAAAGGTTTAAAAGCTTAATACACCTTTATACCACAATTTATCATGTCTCTGTATATGAGATATGTTGACAAATTCACATCTTCATACATGATTTTGTATAATGATGTGTATTAAGAATTGTAATGCAAAAATAATAATAATAATAATAAAAGTTTATTTTTTTAAGGATAGAGAGAGGAGAGAGAGAGAGAGAGAATTTTTCAATATTTATTTTTCAGTTTTCAGTGGACACAACATCTTCATTTCTTCATTTTTTTTTTAATTATTTTTATGTGGTGCTGAGGATTGAACCCAGCGCCCCGCACATGCCAGGTGAGCGCGTTACCGCTTGAGCCACGTCCCTAGCCCAACAAATTCACATCTTCATACATGTATTTTGTATAATGATGTGTATTAAGAATTTTAATGCAATAATAATAATAATAATAAAGGTTTAAAAGCATATCAAACACTTTCTTCTCAGCATCACACAGATCTCTGTTATGTAAGCTGTCACAGAGGTGGGCATACAATTGTAATATTCCCTAAACATATTTTTAGCATCTGTAGGGTTATTTTGATAGTTCCCTTTCCATTGATATTAATTTTTTGTGTTCTTGCCTTTTTCTTGATTAGAACTTGTTTATTTTTTTATCAAATTTTAGCTGTATTATTTCTTCTCTATTTCATATATTTCTGCTCCTACTCTTATTTTTCCCTCCCTATTACATAGTTTGAAAATAATTTGTTATTCTAGCTTCTTCCTGATACAAGCACTTTAAGTTATAAATGTTTATCTGAGTACTGTTTCATCCCAGAGACCCTGATATTTTAAGCTTTTATTATCACTTAGTTCAAAGCACTTTTCATTTACTTTTTTATGCTGTCTTTCTTGACCTCCGAGACATTTATAAATGTGTGCCATTTAATTTTTAAATAGTTGATAGGTGGGTTTTATAACTCTGAATGTGATTGATTTCTAATGTAATGAATCATGCAGGAAACACAGTCTGCGTGAGTTCAATTTTTTAAAAAGTAATGAAAATGCTTTTTATATTGATTTTATTCATTACATACATGACAAACTGATCAAATTGCCTACTTCAAATATGTGCATTTTATTGTATTTTAATTTTACTTAAATAAAGCTATGGGAGGGCTGGGGATGTGGCTCAAGCGGTAGCGCGCTCGCCTGGCATGCGTGCGGCCCGGGTTCGATCCTCAGCACCACATACAAAACGAAGATGTTGTATCCGCCGATAACTAAAAAATAAATATTAAAATTTAAAAAAATAAAAAAATAAAAAAATAAAGCTATGGGAAAAGTTCTTTTTTTTTTTTTTTAAGGGTATCAAAATAGGGGTGGAATGTAATGGCAAAACCAGACTTGATGGGCTGGGGATATGGCTCAAGAGGTAGCACGCTTGCCTGGCATGCGTGCGGCCCAGGTTCGATCCTCAGCACCACATACAAACAAAGATGTTGTGTCCGCCGAAAACTAAAAAATAAATATTAAAAAAGAAAAATTCTCTCTCTCTCTTTAAAAAAAAAAAAAAACAGACTTGATGATAAAATGAAATTATAAGAACATTTTGACATGAAACCCATGCCTGGGGAAAGGATTAACTCCCCTCCCCTTTTATCAGCCTTTCTTTAGGAAACCTAATTACATAGGTTCCTACCTTTCAGATTGTAAAATACTATCT